CAACAACAACAGCAAACACAAACAAATCACAGCTCACATTCATGTTGTCCTGCAAGTCATTTAATTTCTATTTTTACGCTCGAACCGCTTTATTTGCGCCCATTTCCCGACGTTGGCGGTTGGTATTTCAATGCCGCGCGACGGATGTGATTCTGCGTGTTCTTTCCAGCCAGAACTAACTGTTATTTTACGGTTTTATTGTGTTGTAGCTTTATTTCGTTGCTGTTGTTGTTGTTGCTGGTGTCTCTGCCGCTGTGGATTTTCTGCTTTTATGCGTTTTGCGTGTTGGCGAGAAAATTAAATAAAAATAATTAAGAAAAATAACAGAAATCAAATAAACACAACAAAATAATGCGTTGCGGGCGGGTGGGAGCCGAATACAGTAGGAGAGAACAGAGTCGGAGAACCGTTTCATTCAGCCAGACAACCGAAGCGAGCGACGAGACAGTGCACATCAGCAGTGCTACAACTCGCCGGGATACACAATTAGTGGACGGCAGTTCTTAGTTTCCATTTCATATACATATATGTATATATGTACATATGTATGTATAGGTAGGAGTATATACTCGCAAATGCCAGTCATGAGTCTGCAGTAATTTTCCTTAGCCTTCTCCATTATCTATGCCCCGCTGCTGTGTCTTCTGACTTGCTTATTGCTGGCGCTGAATTTGCTGGCTCAGCGCATTTTTTTCTTTGTTCCTTTCAATTTGCTCTGGCATTTCTGTTGCACAATGAACTGTAACAATGTGGCAAGTCGTGGTAATTTGTATTAATTGACAACTAATTGTTTTTTCCTTTTAACAACATTATTGTCAGCGCAGTTAAGGCGTTAGAAGTGGCGGCAGGAAAATTGAATATGCAATCGAGCAGACTGTAGTTGCTGGAAATCGTAAATTTTTGAATCCAGACGCAAGCTATGTGCAAATAAAAATATGGAATTCAGAAGAATTTTTCAAAAAAATATATTTAATTAATATTTATAATGGGCGCTTTGCAGACGCTAAAGCGATATTCGTCCGAGCCGCCGATTTTTTTCTTACGAATGGAGGGACCTACAGCTTATGCTAAACCGTCTCCGAAAGCTGCCAAGCTGTTTTTTCATGTCTCAGTCAGAGGGCACTCCCTATTTATTCTTTATTTAAATTAATTTTTTTTCCAATTTTTGCATTTGTGTTGTACTCTGAATTACCTGGCCTTCTGAATGGCAGTACACAATGAGAGCATTTAGTCGGCACAAGCAGTTCACTAGCCAGGACTGAGGCCCGTGAAGGTTTTGTTGTATTTATGGTGGGATTTGCAAGGAATTATCTACTTTGCGCTGCTTTCCTTCAGCCAAATTCTTTATTTGAAGGCGCATTGGCATCGATGGGACTGTCTGAAGGAAGCAAGCACCCAGAAACGCTCAGCTTTGACCTACAGAACGCGACCACGCACTTCGATAGTAATGCGGCAGAAGGTCTGAGAACTTAATTTGAAGGTTCTTATGCATCCAACTAATAAATAGTTCGTACCTCGCATCAATGGATTATCAATGTGTTCTGTCTATGGCAAGTGATTTGGTTGGTGAAGAGTTGCCCTCAAGCTTAGCTTGTGAAAATCGATTGTATCCATTTTTTGTACAAGGGGCATAGAGAGAGGCAAGAAGATATTACTTTGTTATTTATAAAAAGCTATGGTAAATAAAGTCTTCCATTTAATGAAAAAATAGTGCTTTCTTTTTACTAGACCTAATAAGTAGAGCCTTCGCCAATTACCCCACAGTCTGCGAAAATCATAGTGGGATAAGCCTTCTTAGCACATTCAGAAGAGCGTATTGTGTGAAGGACTAAAGCCCACCGTCAACAAACTGATTGGACCTTATCTTGGTAAGTCAAGTCACTATGCGCCAAATTTTGCAAAAGACGTGCCGATTTTAAGACCGCCTTCGACAGCACAAATAGGAGCTGCCTTTACGCCGCTTTGTCTGAGAGAATATAAAGGGCCGCAGAGCACAAATGCTGCCATAAGCCGATTATATTGACATTATTGGCCTCAACAACTGCGCCGTTAGTTCCGCTTTCTCCAGATTAGATAAGGAAGTGAAGGATGTGGGTCTGGTAGTGAACAAGGGTAAGACGAAACATCTCCTGTCATCAAACAAAAGTCATCGCATTCGCGACTTGGTCCCCACGTCACTGTTGCCTATCTAAGGACCAACATCAACGTCAATATAAATGTCAGCCCTGGTGTCCCACGCAGAATCACTCTTACCAACAAATGCTTCTTGGAACTGAGTTGGCAATTGAAAATAAAAAAAATAAAAGTTTTCGAGAGAAGGGTTTTGCGTAAAATTTATGGTCCTCTGCGCATTGGAACCGGCGAGTCTCGTTGACGATTGAACGAAGAGCTGTGCAAGTTATACGGTGAGATTGATATAGTTCAGCGAATCAAAAAGCAGCGGTTACGCTAGCTAGGTCATGTGGTAAGGATGGATAAGAATACTCTAGCTTTGAAAGTTTTCAATGTAGCAGAGGAAGTAGAGGAAGACGAAAACCCCTAGTCCGTTGAAAAGACCAGTTTGACATGGACCTGAAGAAAGAGGAATGAATGGCGCGATGTTATAAATTCGCCTCAACAACCGCACAATTAATTCTGCCCCTCCCTTATCAAACAAACCGAGGCCGTATTTGCGAATTGGCTCCCATGTCATTGCAGACAGTAATAACTTCGAAGAACAAATGGCGTGTTGTTGTTGATTTGGCTATGATCCCGTGATATTAGTAAACTTAAACGAATTTGTAAGGCCTGGGCATCATCGTTTTATTCGTTCCACCTAAAAGATAACCAAAGGTAGTCAAAGTGTAGCCGAAGACCCGAATATGTCTCTTTCTCGACGTTCTCAAGATCTGAGATTTACTTACGGTACATAGTAGTACATGAGCTTACACTTACTTCATATATCGACCAGGTCACATGAAATCTGAAGCCAGCTGACAACTTGCTACATCGTACATGCGTCGATTGAGTTCTTGAACAACAAGCCATGGACGACGATTTTACGAATACAATTTTTTCCAGCGACGAGGCATATATCTCACTCTGGGATTAGTAAGTAAGAAAACATTTCGCAATAGGGGCTCCGAGAATCTTCATATGATTGAAGAGATGCCATCGAGATAACGGCAAGGCTGTCACTATCAACTCGCCCGATTTGGTCGTATAGTAACCGGCTTCATCAATTGAAAAACAGGACTTGTTCAATATGTGGTTTCAACAAGATGGTAACAAATGCCACACAACACGAACGAATATAGCTTTATTGCGGTGAAATTTCTCGGCCGCATAATCCCTCGTTTAGGCGATGACTATTGGCCACCGGTATCGTACGCTTTGATAATGTTTTTATTTTTTCGGGGAACTGCGCGACCCTGTTCCGTCGGATAAACTTCTCACTCTTTAACACTTGAAAGCGAACATTCGTCAAGTTATTGCTGTTATTCCGCGCAAAAATGTGCCAAAAAATGCTCGAAAATTACCTCAAATAGATCGAAAAATGGAACTTTACAAAAAAACAAAAATATTTTAAATGCATTTTGTTTACGTTAATTTACGGAACCGTGAAGTGGAAACCCCTGTACAATGTCCCGTACAAGAAAGTCACACAAAGCTTTGAGCCTACAACTTTATGTTTGCCAATAAAAGTCCTCAATAATCAGTATAGGGTTAAAAAAAAAAATTGGAATTTTTTGGCATGCTTCTAAACAATTAATAAAATGCATGTACATATGTCTGTATATGTAAATATGACCAAGTACATATTAAGGATACCATTGTATATCAGCAGTGAATGTTTTTGTCTAATCTCTTAATTATAAATAAGTGGATGGTAAGTTAATAGAATTAGTGTTTTGTTGTTGCAATTGTTATCAGTAATTGTTGATAAAAATAAATGACATTAGCGTGTCATTCGAGAGTGCACAGAAGAGCAAACAAAAGTATTATGCATGGCTGCAGTTAGAGAATAAAGCGCTTAACTGACGCTCGTCAAAAGTCAGCGAGTGAGTACCAAACAAATGAGCGATTCGACCAAAGAGAGTACGTCAAGTGGTTTTATCAATGCAGTGAGTGAATGCTTTTATTTAGAAATAGCGGAGGAAGGAGGAAGATACATAGTACTGAAAATACAGACGAGCATAAAGCAAAGTTTTGCGCTGCCAAAAGAGCAACTGTCGAGAAAGTGCTTGAACAAGTGTAGTGGGCAGCGCAAGAACAAGTGCAAAAACAAGCAAACGATTGGCGGCGCGGCGCAGTGGTAACGAAAATTTGAGAAATCTATAACATGTGCAGTTAGTTCAATGCACTGCCTGCGCTGAGTACCCGCTGTCACTGAGACGCGCTCTCCCTCGGCTCACTCAATCGTCACTGCCAGCTGTTACTGTACAACACTGACATTTCTCGCTGCTTTTACTCATACTCGCGCGGTCGCTTTGTGTAATATTCGCGCTCATTGAATTTCTTATCGTTGGCGCTGATAAACAACTGCGTCAACAGCAAATGTTTGTTTAAATATTTAAGTAAATAATATAAAGTATACTAATAACAATAACAAGTAACAAGTGTTATTCTACTAAACTTAAGCAAATCTGTCTACTTGTAGGCAAGCATATATACATAAATATATATTACTCGTATATAAGTATGTACATACACCTTGTAATCAGTGAACGTGCGAAAGGTGATTGAAAGAAATGTAGAAATAATGAAAATAAGAAAGTAAAGTCAATTATTTCATTTTATGTGCAACCAAGTAGTTTTGTATAAATAATATTGTGCCGGCGTTGTGCAGGCGCTGCCCCAATCAGTTGACGCCCTTCTCTGCGTGAGTGAAGTACGAATTTTTCGGGTTTAAAAAGTTAGTGGAAAGTGATCGTGAGCGTCTTCGCGAATTTTTCATTGATTTATGTCGTAATAATAGTGGTTCAAAAAAAAGAAGAAAGCAAAAAAAAAAATATAATAATAATAAATATATATAAAATAAGTAAATAAGAAAATAAGCAAAAATTAGAAAAGAAAGTCAAATAAAAGTGATTGGCGATTTGCTCTTGAAAGGTAATAAGCAAGCTTTTTTGGCAATAAATACTTACATACGTATAATTATATCTGCTAATTACATACATATATATGTATATAGTCATGCTCCAATTACTACCCATAAATTCACGTATATATTTATTTACATTATTGTACCCAATACAAAATATCACAATTTTATAGTTATCTTTAAATCATCGTAAGAGTAAAATATGTACATATGTATGTATGTACATATGATATATGAAGCCAAAAAGAATAATATTGGCTTATATTTTTAACTCGTTTGTATTTTTTTACCTGATTGGTTGAATTGGTTGGATGGCTGATTGACAGCGAAGGTTGAGGGCGCAGAAAATGAGTTTTTTAGTTCCAAATTCAGGTTATTTTCAATGAATTTAAAACTGCTTTGAACAGCACGATAAGGAGCTGCCTTCAGCAAACTTTGACGCTAGACTACACTAGAACGTCAGTGAGAGTCGGAAAGTCACATTTTCACCAAAAAGTCCTGAAATCCAACGCAGAATCACCTATACCAACAGGCGCCACTTCGACTTGGGTAGGCAATGAGTGGCAAATATGAAGTGCTCTCTCGACGAACAAAATTTGAGCTCTACACGTAATTCATCGTTCCGGTTCCGCTGTATGGTATAGAAGCGTAGACGATGTCGACATCCAATTAGTCGTATTCCGATTACACATTGGCGGCGATGAATATCGCAGACTGTGAAATGTTGAGCTATACATAATGAATATTGACACTGACTTAGTTCAATGAATAGAGATTCGGTTGGTAAAGTTATATCGTCGAATAGATTAAAGCATATTAGCTTTAAAAGCATTTAATAGGGTAAACACTGGTGATTGACCCATTAGAAAGAGCAGAGTTACCTGATTTCATTTTGTGCTTCGAATTAGCGCCAAACAGTGAAGAGAAAGAATGAATGGGTCACTATTACTGATTCGCCAATAATTGCGTTAGTGGCGTCACTGACAATGATAAAGAATAATCCTCATCAAGAGCGATATAATCATTGACCCAGCCCCGCCTTAATACATTTCAGTATTACATGCTTTTCCAATAAGGAGTATTACTTTCATATTCAAAGAAACTTCTTCCTTAAATTATCGATGGTTTCGTTGCTTGTGTTCCATTAAGCGCCGTCTCGTTGAAAGTAAACATTGTCCAAATACCATCTCCAATCTCGGCCATAAAAATCATTATTCAACTTCTGGTCTTTTTGTATAAATTATTCTCAAAGATATCTTTCTGAGAAAAGAAACCTGTCACTTGAAAATAGCTACAAGTTCGATTTATCTGTTAGTCCTAAATCCATAAATAAGATTTTTCCGAGTTGGTCAGTCCCAGGTCTACTTCATGGCGGTCGGCAACCATTCGGTATACGGACGTAAGATTTTTTTATATATATTTAGATAAATAGTTTTTAAAAGTAAATAAAACTTTAGTAATAGTAAAAGTGAATTTCACAATCATCATAAAAATATTATTACTTTTCCTCGTTAATATTTTATTTTATTGCATTCTCTCACAACATAATATCCCTTCTAAATTTATTTGTAATCTTAAAAGGAAAAACTTTAAACTTAAAAAAAAAAACGAAGATGAAAAAGCCTACTCCCTTTCAAGGAAAATGTCTACAATTCCTGCCGTAAGCCATAAAACCACTTCATATGAGTGTTGTAATTAAATTTCTTTGTCTTCGCGATTTTTATCTTTATCGCTTTATGCCAAACTTGCTTGCTTATGCTTCGACACGTCTGTGTTACATTTATTTTAGTTACTTCTTTATTTTAATTTTTATGATGCTTTTAAAAACACTTTTAAGATTTTTATGCGTAAAGTTTCTGTCGGATGGTCGTACGGCTGACTGCCTGATTCCTGAGTTGGTTGGTTCTTTGCTTGGCTGAATGGCTGTCTACTGGCCCAGCGTGCGTTGATCTCTACTCATGTGTAAATAAAATGAAGTGAAATGGTGAAAAAAAAGTTAAATGAAATAAAATAAAATAAAATAAAAGCAACACAACAAACAATGCAAAACTCTCCCACATTTATGCCAAATTTTTATATACAAATCTACTCTCTCTTAGTATTTATATATATATATATATGTAGTGTGTGCATAGTAAGTGCTTATGCACTAAGTTGTTTACTCATTCTTTGGTTTAGTTTCAGTTGAGTGTTGGCTCGAGTTGAACTTGTTTGTTGCGGGTGCCTTTTCCTGTTTGTTGGTATGGGTGCGTGTGATTATGCGCTTGGCGTGTATTTACCCTTTTCGCTGTTGCACTTTCAACTGTATTTTGCGGTTATTTTAATTTAATATGCGGTAGAAAGTTTAAAAACTAACATAAAAGAAAATTTATGTGCTTCTGAAAGAGTTTTGTTTTTATTTATTTTATTCAAAAAAAAATTTCTTTTTATTTATTTAATAGGCGATATATCAAGTCAAAGAGAAAATTTATTTGCGTATGTTTTACAATTTTTTACAAAGTTTTTTTTTTCTAATTTTTTCTAATTCAACTAAAGTAATGGGAATGAGCTAATTTTGAGATGGTTGAGAAGTGAATATGTAGGAGCACTTTCAATCACTCATGCCGCTGTCTCTTAATTATCTGAATTATGTTAAGCCCGCCGTATAGCAAAAATTTAGTTTTCAAAACCTACTCATGGAATGCCATCATCGTCCACACTTTAGCAAATGTAACTGCTGAGAGAAGTTCAGAGCTAAATCTTTGTTCATCGAGTGTTTCATCGAGTTTTCAAAACTCCAAAGCAGCACCTGTGAAGAGAAAGTTTGTCGTGTTCTTCTTGCCACCTGAATTTAACAAAATTTATCGCCTCGTAAGTATATTGTGAATATAAGAATCTACTGGGTCTAAATCCACATGAGTTCAATCAGTTCTTTGACAGTGGGATTCAATCTTTCATACAATATGCTAGACTATACCTCATACCCGATATAGGGAGCCAAACCAATCAATATTCAACAATAACTGGTATAGAATGTGGGAGCAGTCTTCTTGTGGATTGGGAAGAGCTTAGTTAATCCAAATATTATAGAGAAGCTAATGTATGTATCTTATAAGTTATACACCACCGTATTCGAACTGCTCAGACGTTAAACTAGCCGCTTCAGAAATGTCTATTCATTCATCATCCATTGGGAATTCGCATTCAATGCATCCGAAGGTAAAACTTTCACTGCAATTGAGTAGACTGGCGAAATGGAAGCATTTATAAAACTAAATGTACCTTGGTGATTAGATCACCTTTTCGATTCTTAATGAAATCTTCAGTAAGTCTAGCCTTTGCGAACTACCTCTCTTGGACAACTTCTTAAGCTCTTCATACTCATGTATTTCAGGCTCCCTTGTTATTATCACTTTTCTCCTCAGCTCTCGGTATCCGCTCTTTGAGCTTATTGGACTTTTTCTTGAAATTTTTTTTATGATATCTTAAGTTTGAGGTCTCGTTCGGTGCTCTTTTAATCAGCTTTTTAACGACCATGTGGTCTCTTACACCTAAATTGTGCCTTGCTTCTGTGGGATCTGTCCTACAAAACTCTACTGGATAAACGAATAATAACGATATCGATAGACTTCGGCTCTTTAATTTGTAACCAGGCGGCTTCCAGCGGCTGCTAGTTTATTTCACGGGTGACACGAAAAAAATGCCTAACGCATCGTCAGTTATCGGTAGAACAACGTAAATGCTATTTGCGTGAGATTTAAAGTGCTACTATGAGGAACTATGACCAATTTCCGCCCTCCTTCACCCTTACTATGTTAACAATAAACGCGTTTACATTTTTCTAACTTACTTCCCTTAGGAACACAACTCAGACATTCTTATCTGCATTTGGTGGTCCATCCAAAGTTTCGAGCCTCCACACTTAGCTTCGTTTATACATTGTATATATATATAGTTGACACTTTGTAAATGCTGAAGCGATTTTGGGCCGAACTCCTCCCCGGGATACTAAGCCGCCTCCGAACGACTGATGGTTTTTTATGAGGAGACTTTATTTCATCTCAGAACTACAATCGGAGGGCTTGAAATTCCCTGCCGAGTGGCGACCGTAAAAATTATTTTAATTTACAGTTAAATTAAATTTTCTAAATTTTTTTTTAATATTTGTCGCACCAGAGTTCGAACCATGTTATAAGCAGAACTTGCTATTATTAGTGCGTTTACAATTTAACTAAAAAATATTTCTAATTATTATAATAACTAATTTACTTTCCCCCTTTTTCTTTCTGCAATAAAAAATTAGGGAATTATCAAAACCTCCGAAAAATTGCCAAAAAAAACCTCGTTACTTTGGAGAAGCTCCAACACGTGCAAGTAACTACCAGCAATCAAAAGAGGTCACACACACACACACACACACACACACACTAACTAAGTAATTGTCAGCTGTAATAACGGTACTCGAAACTTGAAACAATCGTGTAAGCAATGCCTGAAGTTACAAAACTAGCCACGTACGAAGAAATTTTGGCATTGGCCAAATCGACATATAATAGTCTCTTTGGCGGCGAACCAGAAGTGGCCTGCTGTGCGCCGGGACGTGTTAATTTGATTGGTGAACATGTGGACTATAATGATGGCTTCGTTTTACCGATGGTAAGTTGAAAAAAAAAATAAACGAAAATTTTTCTCACATACATATATAATAAAGAATTTTTGATGGCTTAATCAAATGAATGCAATAGAAATTTAGAAAAATTGAGCAAACTCAAAAGAAAGTAAAAAAAGTTTAATTTGACTGAATAAAAATTAAAAAAAAATTTAAAAAAAAATTTTAAAAAATTATACATAGTTAAAATGAGAAATTTCTCTAATTAGATTTTTTTTATTATTTTCCATTTAGTTTTCGCCTATTTATGACTTAATTTCCTTTTTCCATTAATTTTCTCACCAATTTTCGTACCCTAATAAATTATTTAATATTTTTACTTCGGCTTTCATCCCACCTTAGGCACTGCCCATGGTCACGCTCGTCGTTGGCGGCCGTCGTACGGATCAAAAAGCCGTAGTTTTCACACATTGTGGCGGCTGCGATGAGCCAAAGCAAGTAGAGTTCTCATTAACAGATTTGAAACCGGAATTACCAAAGTGAGTAAATTTCTAAAAAATAATTCAGCATTTCCAAAAAATTGAAGTACCGCTTTAGCCAAAGCATATTTTTCTACAACAACAACGACAGTCATCTTAACAACACCTCTGTCTTCACTGTGTCAATCAAAAATTTCCGAAATACTGTTAGTACTCAGCATTCGTGTGTGTGTGTGTCTGTATATACTCATGGCCATGCTTCATCTCATCTCGTCGTGTGACCTCTTTTGCCCAATTTCATTGTACATCTGCAATTTGTTTGCAATTCTCTGTCAAATTTTCTTACAATTCTTCACTCTATCCCCCTTCATCAAGCTGCTTTTCTTTGCAAAACTTCAGTAAATTGCTGTTGGTGTCCATCACCTGTCTGTTGTTGGCTTTTGAGGTTATGTGAGTGTAGCTGCACCAAAAATCAACTGTCGTCTCTAAAATCAAAATAAACTTTTCCCCGAACGACTAGAGAGAGAAAGAGAGAGAGACAGAGTACTTTTGGGAAACAAATGGAAAAGGAAATGAAAATGCAGCACAACAAAAACACCAAGAGCAGCAGCAGCAGTGATAATGTGAGTTGATGGCGTTCCACAAATGAAGTGGATGTCCGTTTATCAGCTTCGTGTTGGTTACTTCACTATCATAATGCTTCGTAATGTGACTGTTTGATGGCTAAAGAAGTTTTCTGTCATTGCGAGGAGCTTTTCAACCAGGGGTTTAATCAGGCTTCTTACTACAAAGAGAGCGTTTTTGAAATTACCCAGCAGAATTTGGTGAACGTAATTATAAACTACTCCAAGCATGCTCGGTATTTAAGATAATGGTGAAATCAAGAATGGTATAATTGGGAGCCCCCCCCAAAAAAAAAAAAAAAACAAAAAAAAAAAAAAAAAAAATGCTTAAAACTGAAAGGCAGATTCCTTTGAGGACGTACAAATTTTTCTCTTTTAGGAATAATTTGTTGGTTTAATATTGTAGTTCAGCTTATTGGAGTGATAATTTCAAGTGTTAATAAACAAAATATTAAAACTGGTTTCATTCCGTGATATACATATGTAAGTGTATATATGGGAATATTATATAATTCAGTACAAACGGTATTTTTTATTTATTCACAATATTTTCTATTTTGCTTTGCTTTATAATATTTATTATTTAAATATTTTTTTTTTTTTGAAAATTTATTCTTAAAATTTTTGTATTTTTAATTTAATTTAAAATTTATATTTAAATCCCATTCAATCATTTTTTATTTTATTTTATTTTAAAATTGTATATTTTATTGCATTTTAAGATTAATTTATTATTAAGTTTTGTTATAATATTTTATTTTACTTATTTAGTTTCCTATTATTTTTTACTCTTTTATTTTTGTTTGAGCGGGTAGAAGAGAATGAGTTTGTCCAGGACGCCAATCTTACACCGCTCAAGGGAGCAGGGATTGGAAGATACAAATAACTTTTACCTATATACTCGAAGGCAAAAACTCACGTAACCTGAAGCAATTAGCCAGCGCCCAAAGTTATGCAAGGCTTTATGCTCCTCGCGTAACCCATTTTTTTATTTTTTTATTAATCAATTTTTTATTTTATTTTAATTTTTTTTTAGTTTATTTAATTTTATTTTATTTTTTATTTTTTTTTTATTTTATCTTAATTTATTTTATTTTATTTAATTTTATTTTAGTTTAATATTAATTAATTTTTTTATGTTATCTTAATTTATTTAATTTTATTTAATTTTATTTTAATTTAGTTTATTCAATTTTTTTAACATGTTACAATTTATTTTATTTACTATTTATTATTTTTATTAATTTGTTTTGAGCTCATGTTAGTTTATGTTATTTATTTCAACTTATTAACTTAATTTAATTTAAACTAAAATTTAATTCAAGTTTTTTTATTTTGTTTTAAGCCATTTCATTTTTTTAAATTTATTTTAATATCTCTTTCATTATTTTTTTTATTTTATTTTATATATAACACTATAAAATATTTATTTTGAATTAACTTAATAATATATTTTTTATTTAGTTTAATATTTATAAGACTTTTTAATTTAATTGACCTAAACCAGATTTAATTCATGTAAATTTAATAAATGTACTTTTTTGTTTCCATTTTACTTTTTTTTTACGTCCCATTTTCTTTTTTTAATTTGTTTCATATTGTTTTATTTTTATTTTATTTAATTTTATTTTATTTACCTTCTTTTATTTTATTTTACATAATTTTAATAATAATAACAAACGGCGCTTTGTAGTCAATTAAGCGATTTATTTATTTTGTTTCATTTTTATTTGCTTTATTTTATATTATTTATTTTTTTATTTTATTTTATTCCATTTTGTTTTGTTTAAATTTATATAATTTAATTTAATTTTATTTTATTTTAATTTTATTTTAGTTGAATTTTATTTTTATTATTTTATTTTATTTTATTTATTGTTATTGTTTTATTTTATTTTATATTCGAGTTTTTTATTTATTTATTTTCTTTTGATTTATTTTATATTTTTTTTATTTATTTTTATTTTTGAATGATTTTTAAATGCTTATATTTTGCTTTATTAAATTTCATTTCATTTTATTTATTATTTCCATTTAGTTTATTAAATTACATTTATTGTAATAATTTAAAAAATTTTGATTTGGTTTAATTTTTAGGTTTTTCTTAATTTAAATTTTAGGTCGTGCTTCTATGCCTACAACTTTTGATTTGGATTCACCCATCCTTACTTTTTTTAAATAATTTTTTTGGCTTTTCAAAATTTATTACTTAAAATATAATGCTTAATTCTGAGTATTGCATTTTCAACAATAATTTTTTATGCTTTACATACATTTGATTTCAAATGCGTGGAGTCCCAGCTTTGCTTTGTAGCTTGGAAAACCCCTTAAAGTGTTTTCGTAAACAATGTGATTTCAGCAACTTGCAACTTTCAAAGCACTACCTTTGAGCACCAATGAGCATGCTCTGGTGTGTAAACGCACACGTTGGTATTTAGTATGGTTTAGTTGTGTTTGTGTGCATTCTCAAATACACACACACACACACGCACTGAAAATTTTTACAAAATAAGAAGTTGGTGAGTGCCGTTTTCTGACTAAATGTCAACTCGTTTGCTGGTTGGCTGAGTAACTTGCCTTCCTGGTCTGCCTGACCGCTAAGTTGTCTGCTGTCAAGTGAGTTAAAGAAGAGAGAGAGCTCCTGTCGACCAAATAAACAAATAAACACAGGAAACAAAGGAGTTTACATGTACACATATACATAAGTGTGTGAATTTTTGTGTATGTGTGCATGTGTTAATAAGGCATGTATGTAGTGTGGTCCATTTGAAAGTTCAACTACTCAACTGTAAAGCCACAAAGGAAATGGAAAATGAGCTAAAAGTGGTTTATGTAGAGAAATTTGGGAGAAATGTGTGAATGCATAAAAGCGTTGTCAGTACATATATACATATGTATACGTATGTGTATGTAAATATATATTTGTGTGTATTTCGTTCACATGTGTATGTTTATTTTTTTTTTTGGAAAGTTTGAATCATTGTAGAGAAATGTGCAAAGTAGTCAAAATAGACTAAGTTCATTTGTGGCAAAAAGCAAAATTTTCACTTCAAACATTTTAAATGCGCTTTGGCAAGGGTCCATCCATCCATCCATCCATCCATCCATCCTTCCATTCGTGAAGTAGTATTTAGCTTCGGCAGGCGCTTTTGAAAAGCACAAACGTACTTCGTCCAGTTACTCATTTGCAATTGCAATTGCCTTACACTTTCTGTGCTTCTTCTTCGTTTTGTTCCTTGCAGGTGGGCCAACTACGTGAAAGGTGTTATATACAATTTTGCGGTCGAATTGCAGCTGCAGGAGGGTCAGTTGCCCGGCTTTAATGCTGTTTTTGCCTCCAATGTGCCCGTGGGTGGCGGTTTATCGTCCAGTGCAGCAGTTGAAGTTGCCACATTGACTTTTATGGAACAGTTGACGGGCAAACAACTTGAGAAGTGAGTAAATTAGCAATCGAAAATTCTTCCGAGTTGAAAGTTTTTAGTTTGTTTTTTTCTTTTAAATTTTTTTTTTTATAAAAATGCAGAAATTAATATTTTTATTGTTTAATTTTTATTCCCCTTTTTTAGCAATAAAAAACGCGCTTTGGTTTGCCAAGCTGCTGAACATAAATTTGCCGGCATGCCATGCGGTATTATGGATCAAATGATATCGGTTGCTGGTCAAAAGGATCATTGCCTGCTGCTGGATTGCCGGTAAGTGAGACAACACTTTGAGATAAGTTCGGAATTTTTTCGCTCGATGCTGAGTGAAATCAAGTGCAAGTGCTAAGGTTCATAAGATAAGCAGCAGAACCACACACCCTTTATTTTGACTTTCTATATTATGATAAATTTTTGTTCCAGAAAACTTATATAAAAGTCCTTCTTGAGCTTCATTTAATAAGAAATATTAATATTTCAATTTTAAATTGAACGCATAAGAAAAGCTCGTAGCCCACAGCCGTCGAAAAATGTCAAGGAGTAGCAATGATCTGTGGTTTCACCCAAGTCATGCTAATTCTGTCAATCTGTCGGTGATAACTTTTTCTTAAGGAAGGAGGTTTTATTTATGTTTCGAGTAGATCGAACTTAATTCCTGGAGATAAGTTCATTTGGGGTAGAGAAAAGTACTTACCTACTTACCTTACTGGCGTAGACAGCTCTTACGCCATTATAGCCGAATTAACAACAGTGCGCCATTCGTTTCTTCTTTTGGCTGTTTGGCGCCAATCGGAAATACCAAGTACAGCCAAGTCGTTCTCTACCTACTCTTTCCAATGGAGTGGAGGTCTTCCTCTTCCTTTGCTTCCAACGGCGGGTACTGCTTCGAAAACTTTCAGAGCTGGAATATTCGCAGCCATCCAGACCACCTGACCTAGCCAGCGTAGCCGCTGCTTTTTGACCCGCTGAACTATCTCAATTTCGGCGTGTAACTCGTACAGCTCATCGTTCTTTCGTCTGCGGTGTTCGCCGTTGCAAACTTCTAGCGCCATCTCATCAGATACTGTCATCGTCCATCCTTCCGCACCATATAGCAGGACGGCTTGTCCTATTTTATGCGGAAGTTTCTTGATTTTCCCGGATTTCCTAGTTGTTCATATTCTGACGTCTGTTATTAATCTGGCCGTCCATCGATCATGATTTCTTCTTTCCCATTCGGGGTTTCTTTCCTTATGCTTTCTCTGTTTGTATTGACAGTGCAGCCTTGGTTCCTTATTCTTTTGAGCGCCCAGTTTACTTTCTTTTCGACTGACAATATGTCGATGGGAATGTTTCCATTTATTACAGCTATTGCTTTACCTGATACTGTACGGCATACCGACGTTACTCTCAAGGCCGCATTGCGGTGTACTTTGGCCAATACCATTTGCCATGTATCATTCGTATATGAGTCCGCCCGTAACTCGGCCCGGTACAGTAAGATGTTAAGGGTTGTCGCCATGATAAGATTCCTTTTTTCTTGAGTCCGTTCTCCTATGTTAGCCATTAGTCTGTTAAGCTGAGAAATGGCTTTGGAGGCCTTAACTACGGCATGCTGGATTTGAGCCCAGTAGCTCAGTGTGGGATCTAGTCTTACACCCAGATAGTTAACTAGTCATCTTGACCTCAAAAAAGTTCTCATTCGGTCTTCCAAAATAAATTTATCAAAAAATGCTGATTTTCCTCTCGACTGCTTTTGTCTTGGCTGAAACTCGAGGTACGGTTTGATTTTAGGAGGCCGAGTGGTTAGCGTTGCGTACTGCTATTCGGAAGACCCAGGTTCAAATCCAGGTACGACCACCATCCAAAGGTTAAAGAAAATTAATTTAAAAAAAAAAAAAAATTATTTAAAATTTCCAATTGCGATCGCCCCCAGCAGGGAAAGTCATGTCATGTATTTTTGACATTAAATAAACCTCCTCATAAAAACCCTCAGCCGCTTGGAAGTGGCTTAGTAGAAATTGTTGGTCCTTCTATTTGTTGGAAAAAGTCAAGACGCAAAACCAGAATTTCCTTTTTGAGCTGAGTAAGTTCAGCATTAACCGCACTAATTATTTCCTCGTTGCTATTAAAGACCTTTCTTTTTAAAAATCGCAAAAACTTACTTATTTTTGCAGCAGTGGTGGATGGCGCGTTGTCATGATGCAAAAAGTAGCACCTCAAATCTCCTTATTCCTGTTTTCTAACAAAGTTTTGAAAACTTTTGGTGAACACCCTTCAGTGTACCATTTTGCATTTACCGTCTGACGCTCTTTCAATGGATTAGAAACTACGATTTTAGATCGGGTGAGGCAAACTGAAATCAGTCCTTTTGCTGCTCATTTTTGTTGCTCGGATTTTACGGGTGAGTTTGCCCATGTTGGGCGGCATACCAAGCATTGCTGCTTAGTATCTGGATCGTATTTATAGAACCAAGACTTTTCACCGCGCGAAAAAACGTCCAGTCTTCAATCTCCGAAACCACTTAGAAATAGTCTTTAAAGACGCTGGAATCGCTCCATATGGGCTGTAAATTACGTAAAAACCCGAAGAGAATGGCAAATTTCTGTTTGCGTTGGGGGTGAAATTTGGTTTTTTCTATCCTCCGCTGTCTTGCGTTTTCTTGGCTCCATTTAAGCCGATCATTCAAAAATTTGAAAGGAGGACTAAAAGATTTGCTATTTTTGATTTATTTAACAGATACTTCGCCGAGGAAAGAAATATTTCCATCCAGTTTCCTGGGATGTTCCCATGACCAGAGATCAAAGCCATGGGTGTTTGGCATACAGTCGAGAACGTATAATAATCAAAGTTTCGAAAAAAAATAAGAAATGTCAACTCTTTCCAATTTATTTCTAATAAAATGCGTTTGGCAATTTCTTTACATCAATATTGCTACTTCTGCTTAGAAATAACCAAGAGTAATTAAAAAAATCTCCTAGTTGAATATGTTGAAATATGTTAAAAAGCTCAAACAATTCTGGGCAAACATGCTTGTGGTCAAAATTTAAAATTTTTATTTAATATTAAAGTAAATTTTTGAATCTGTTTTGACTTAAACAACTAAAAAAAAGAAAAAGAAGGTCTTTAGCTCAAAAATCATAAAAAGCTCACATTATTATATTATACAAAAAAAAAAAATATGCCTGAATTTGGCAGCATAAAAATAGTTTCGCCAAAAACTATGCAACATTTTTTATGCCATTTCTGTCTGCCAAGACAATGTTTGTATAGTCCCTTTTATTTACTCTTCCCTTTGCTTTGCATACAATTTTATTTACATAAATAAAATGTGAAAATAAAATTAAAACAAATAAATATTGTGCACCTAAACAAGCACAAACGACTTACATACACATACATGCTACAGTCTGCCAGTGCTGCGGTCGCCGTGACGTATGCGCGATATTATTATTACTACAAAATATATATTTTTTATATCCAAGAGCGAGTGGAACTTTTTCAATTTCACAGCCGCAGCAACAGCAGTTTGGCATTAACAACACATACATATATATATATATTTTTTTTTTTCATGCATATGTGTGTGTGTGTGCGTTCGTGCAGTTGATTATGAGTGGGTATGTGTTAGATTGCTGTGCGCTGTGGTTGGCAGCCAGCTGACGCTATTCATCGTAAACTTCTTTTGTTTTTGTTGTTGCTAGCTGTCGCAAAAATGTGAGTTTTATTACAATTATTTTTATTATAATTTTCCAAACGAAACGCACACAAGCACTGTTCCTTTGTTTTTTATTTATTTTTATTTTTTATTCTTTTTTTTCTGGTTTTCTTTTTTACTGCAGTCTTGTGTGTAATGCCAAAGCTCTGAGTCTCTATATGTTGCATTCTTTATAATTTTATTAGTTGATTTTTTGTATAATTTTTGCATTTATTGCTTTTTTGGTGACAACATTTTTACTACTTTTTTCTGATTAAATTTTGTGAATTTTTTTTAGCTTTGGAAATACATAGAAGCGTATATAATTAATATGTATGCACAATTGTGTATGCAATAAAAAATATATTCGCGCATTATCAGCGAATTTTGGCTTTTTATTAAGACAAAAGCTGAGCGTTGACATGAACTCGGCCTGGCTGTATATACTCGTATGTAAATGTGCATATGCTTGTGGTTGTGCCTGTGGCTGTATTGTGGTTTTACGGCTACACTGAGTGTGTAAGTATGGCAACACAGCGCGCCTATGTGGCGTTTGGGAAGTTATTAAGTTATATAGATAATAAAAAATAAAAAGGTCAGCTTCAGGAAGGTTTGAGGAGAATTTGTGTTCTAAAAACGTTGAACCAAAAAAGAGTAGTATTTTTTATCACGCAGAAATGAGCTCTAGATTTTAAGTAATAAAATTAAAATATAGTTTATTAAAATTTCGTTAATTCAGTTAGGCTTCATTTGAAATCTGTGAGAATGATAATTTATGTTTTTCTGAAAATTTCCTTAAAAAGTGATAAAAGGAATAAAAAAAGGCAGGAAAAATGTGTATAAATTAGCGAACAATTCTCGTGCCTGCTGAGCATATTATAGGCGTACCATCACCTGACTATGACGAAACACGAACAGCGATCACTTTCTAAGGAAAAAAGAAGCAGTGAGTGTCAATTATTGGGTTGCCCAAAAAGTAATTGCGGATTTTTTAAAAGAAAGTAAATGCATTTTTAATAAAACTTAGAATGAACTTTAATCAAATCTATAATTGCCATTTTGTTCGATAACCTTTTGCCATCTTCCTGGCAAATTTAGTATTCCACGCTCAAAGAACTTCTGGCCTTTATTTGCAAAAAACTGAAGCAAGTGCGATTTTATAGCCTCATCATTGCCGAAATTTTAACCATTTAAGGAGTTCTGCAAAGATCGAAATAAATGGTAGTCTGATGGTGCAAGGTCAGGGCTATATGGTGGATGCATCAAAAGTTCCCAGCCAAGCTCACTCAGTTTTTGGCGAGTGACCAAAGATGTGTGCGGCCTAGCGTTGTCCTGGTGGAATATGACACCTTTACGATTGACTAATTCTGGTCGCTTCTCCTTGATGGCTGTATTCAATTTGTCCAATTGTTGACAGTAAACATCCGAATTAATTGTATAGTTCTTTGGAAGCAGCTCAAAATATACGACGCCCTTCCAATCCCACCAAACAGACAGCATAACCTTATTTTGGTGGATATCAGCCTTTGAAGTGGTTTGAGCTGGTTCACCATGCTTGGACCATGATCGTTTTCGACTAACGTTATTTTAAACAATC